GGGTTAGCCATGAAGGTTTGCCCCATTTAAAAAAGAAAAAGAAGTCTTCTTAATCGTTACATCGCATCATATACTACAAATAAATAATTAAATATACGTAATATTTCATAACTATATCGATATTATTTCGCACTCAATTGTAGTCAATTTTATACTTTACATCGAACAGAATGAAAATCCTTTCGGATTATATGAAACCATTAAACCTTGCGAATTTAAAGCATAATGCAATGAAACGTAATGCGCATGTGCGAATAAATTTGTTCATTATATGTAAACGAGTTGCATCCAGAGAATTAGCTCGAATATTTCACTCGTTTCTTAAAACTTTTCCAGGGAACAGATTACAGTTAAAATCGACTGTAAAAGTTTTTGCCGATTCGTTGCTCGTAAACGGGTTGCATCGATAAGAAACGATTTTATCGACTTTTAAATCCACTCAAGTGCACCAGACATCGGGGCCTGATGTCTGTCCTGGCTGTTGGCAAGCTAGGTCGAATTATCCAATCGATTGACGACCGATTGATTCGCGCATCGCTAGGATAATAGCTCGAATTCGATTTCGATGCATCTGCGATTAACTACGGTCTACCGGATCCGATGCGATAAAACGTACAAAAGGAAAAGGAAAGAATTTCTAACAGTGGTTACGTGCATGAACATTATATGATGTCGAAAAGTATGTAGAAAAAAGTAGTACAACGAGTATCGAGTGAAGTGGCTTAAAATGTTCTACCAGTCGACAAACGAGGACGATATGCAAAATCGATTTCAGTCTTGTCGAATTATGGCACTAAGTAGCGCTATTTTAACAAATAGGCACGTACGACTGTGTTTTCACTTCTGATACTTTTTTTTATTATTTGATATTTTTATTTGAAAATGACTTTTCGAGGGTTGAAAGTTATCTGCCAGTACTTGAATGATAAATTTTTGAGAAATTAATATTCTCTTCGTTCGTATTGTAAAATTATTGATATTAGCTTCAGTCTGAACGTATCGTGAGATAGGAACTTGCTCTGTGTAAATTGAAAATTTGTTATTACCATTACGATAGCTTTTAAAATATATCTATTTTAACGTGCACGTTCTTTAAATAACTCAATCGCCTATGTTGAGATTTGATACTTCAGAATCGTAAAAGCATTCTGAACAATTTATCAATTATGTTGAGATATAAATTCTAAAAGATTAGATAAGGAGACTGTAATAATAATTGTTTCGCAGCGATCATGCAAGCATTGCAAAATTCAGTACAAAACTAAAGGAAAAATAAATAATTGTAGAAAAGACTTGAACCATAAATAGAGTAACTACTGAAGTAGTTTCAAAATGATTCAATTTCTACAATTTATTGAAACAATCGATATTTTTACATAACTACGCTTGTTCTGGATTTATTTAAAAGGCTGGTTTCCATTACTGTCTATACATACATGTAAAAAAATATACATATGTATAAAAGAAAGTCTCATAGTACGTGGAGCAAATTTTGCATATTCTTCAACATCCTAGAGCAAATAACGTGAGGCTGCCCACTTCTCGAACACCCATAAACTCAATCACCCACTTGCCACCTACTCTTAACTTAAGGAATTTCTTGCCTGGCAGTTCAATAATTTTTAACAATTTTAACGGGCAACACGCGAAGAATCAATTTCTTTTCGCAACAACGTGAACGTTTCCTGGATGGTTTTCAAATTTATTGTTGAAATATTAATTAAAAGAGAGAAAAGAAACTCGAGCAGCGCTCGGCACGCGCAGCTATTTCCAATAAATCCAAAACACAAGATTAAGCTACAAAACGAAGTTACACACCGTACAAAGCAACTTAAATTCCTTCTGCTTCGAAACTATTTCCAATTCCTAGCCACCCACAACCATTCGCCTTAAGTTCCAACACTCGGAAGAATCTTCCTCGGCCTATCGTGCCATTTTCCACCCCAATTTCGTTACAGCCAGATCCAACTTACGGAACAAATGAATCGTAACGCGCACAGGAGAGCGAATTAATTCGCGAATTCGATAAAACTCGCTCGCGCGGCAATTTCACGGCTGAAAGTCGGTGTCGCAGAGCGTTCGTTTCGGCTGGACGGGCGTAAAAATAAGAAAAAAAAAGAAGAATGGCGACCAGCATTGGGCGTTGGGGATGGGCCGCGAAGAAACTCGATTGAAAAGTTTTCGCTCGTGTCGCTCGGGGCTATCGGGGCCAAAGGCGCGAGATAGTTTTCCGCATGGCGTGGTTGCAGCTGCGAGCTTGTGCTCGAATGTGGGCCGAGAACATTCTCGGGGGAACTCCGAGCAAGATTGGCGATAAAAGGGTGCGTCGCTCCGTTCAAGAAGGAAACGAGCCTGACTTCTGTTGCAGATCGCTGGATTTCGCGACAATTTCGAAGGTTTCGCAAATGAGATGAATCGAGGAAGAACGGTGGAATTAGAGCAACAGATGGTTAACCGTCTCCACGCGATTATTCGCAATGGGACGCTTCGTTTTGCGACTAGGTCGATCCGAATTCGTGAACGCGAAGATTCGCGAGAGGAAAATATACGACGCACGCCAATAATCGTGATATCAATATCCATTGCACAATATGTTAGAGCAAAATACCTTACGAAGGATTTTATCAAACCAACATGTCACGTATTCGTATAGCAGCGCAGTTCTTCGAAGCTAATAAGATATGGTTAAAATTACGTTGCTTGTTTCTCTTGCTAAACGAATGTAAAAATGTTTTTACGTGGAAAAATATTTCAATAACGAATCTGTACGCTACACGTGACATTAAACGTTATAATATATTGGTTTTGCATTTTTTAGCTTATTTATGCGGGAGGAAACCGAACTGCGTGAATTGTTCGAAAGTCTGATGATGTTTTTTTAATTATGTTTACCTGTAACACTTTTACGACATGCTTCGAGAAACATGTGTTAAGCGATGAAAGGTGAGAAAATTTATTACTCGCTTTATATTCGAAGATACCGCAAATATATCTTTCGTTAATTATTTGATGAATGTAAAAGGACAAGCGTGCCTCTAAATCTGTACTGTCCGAACCAGTTATGCAAATAGTTGTTCGTATTGTGCAAACATCTTTGCGCAATTCTTTAACGTCGATATTCCCAATACCTTGATAACCTCTGATATATATAAAGCTATCGTTTTTCAGGAAATATCGATTCTACGGCGATTCTATCAGCCGTTCATTCGAATTTACTTCTGCCACGAATGCAATCGTATGAGAAAATGCTTCGTATTATTCATTCGTGTTACACGGTTTATCCATTTCCAGAATGCAACACTACATTTTATTTATATTTTAAGCAAGCTTAGCACGATTTGACATACCAGAGAGCGTTCAGCTGATTATTCTCCATTCTGAAATGATTATAATATGTCCTAGTATTTATAGTTCGTTGATTCACAACGATGACGAATTAAAAATTGACTATATTACATCATAAAGATATTAGACTCTGTTAACGATGCATACGATACATACGAGCAGATCGCTAATTTTAGAATTCAATTGCACTATATTTTCAATCATATCGTGTTACGAAACGTTCGCGAAAACCGAAACCGAAAAATTGTTTCTTAATATTTGCTATAAAATACACATTCAAAATTTTCTAGATAAAAATCAATATTTCCCAAATAAAACGAGGTATCGGAAAATTGCTTGCTGGAATTTAATAGTTAAGGAAGGTATATTGGAAAATTGTTTGTCGTAATTTGTGTAGTTACGAAGGCTATGCTCTTTCTAATAAATTGAATATTTTTGCTACAGTTAGGTATTTTATAAACTACAATTTTAACTCCATTATTACGTAGATTATATAAAGATGTAACAATATGGCATTATAATAATTTTGAAATAATCTTAACAACCCAATTCGTTTTACAGTTTCTTCGCATTATACGTATGTTACCAATAAGTTCGAGCGAAAAAGTAGAAGTATTCGGTATATGTTCGACACTGTTGAACATTTGATAAGTAACAACGTCAAATATCAATCATTACGTCAGAATATATCATTAATCATACATTATATAACGCTTGATATACAAATGAAATTTATCTCGATCAAAAATATAGCATTTCCCACAAACAACGTTATCTGCGCAAATAAACAGTCATTTAATAATTAATTAATTTCATATTTAAGAGATATTTATTATTTCAAACGTTTTATCTCCAATTGAAGTTGACCGGCGGAATTACAGAGTTCTAATATAAAAGAAAAC